TGCACGGACTCTTCTTGGTGTATCAGAGATTCGTGAAGCCTTCTTTTGCAGAGGATTTTTGGTGTATCAGACAAATATGAAGCCTTCTTTTACAGAGGAGTTTTGGTGTATCAGACAAATATGAAGCCTTCTTTTGCAGAGGAGAAAAAGAATAGAGCGAAGTTTATCCTTTTTTGAAGAGAGAGAGTTATTCTTTTCAGAAGAGAGAATAAGAGAGAGAAAGAGAATTATCCTTCTTCTTAGATAGAAGAAGAAGATAAATGAGAGCCGGTGATCATCTTCTTAAACAATTTTTTTTTTGCTGAGAGAAAAGAGTGAGAAGAGAAAAAAAAAAAAACAGAAGAAAAATAGAGAATATTTTCTTTTAGAGAGAGAAAACCTTTAGAAAGAAAAGAAATCTCTGATATCAGAGAGGGAATTCTTAGAGAGAGAAGTCTTTAGATGAAATCGGTGATCTCAAGAAAAGTTGTTTTTTGAAAGATTATTATAACATTTGAATTAATAGTGGATTCTTCTATTTCTCCTGTGGACGTAGCGGTGAACCACATAAAATTCTTGATGTCAATAAGATTTATTATTTATTTGCTTTATTACATAGCTTTCCCACTTATACACATACACACCAACTACTGCATAATTTTGTTTTCCATATTTCCTGGTTTTACTGGACGCATTCGCATTCGTGCAAAATGGCTCTAACTGAATGAGCCCAACACAGGACTAATCATTGGACAATTTCGTTGTGCATCGCTTTAAGTAATTGCGAGGGAGAGAGACGATCTTTGTTAAAATGCACTGAAAGATAAGAAAAATGAGGTTCATTTCCATGGGTGGCAATGAACCCGTATCCACCCCTTGAGGCTATAGCCGGACTGACCCTGGGTTTGGGTCCAAAACATGGACCCGACAGGTCGGGTCGGATCCAAATATTGGACTTCAATATTATTCAAGTATGGGTTCAGATTCATGTGGACCTGACCCAAATAGTGCTATTCTTTAAATAAAATTTTACATATAATATTTTAATAATATTTAAATAAATATAACTATATATTTTGGTTATAATATAAAAAGTGGGGTGCGGTTTGTATAGAGCTGAGGCTCTAAACTATCAAATTAGAGCCCACCTAAATAGTGTCGAGAAAGGTGGTTTCAATACTGAAAATCTTTGTGATAGCCTTAAAATATATTATTAACTTTTATTATAAAATTTAAAGCTTCAAAAATAGTGTAGATCGAGCAAATCTATAAAAACTTGAAAATTGGCAGTCAAAAAATATTTTACAAGATGTACTATTTTCAAAACTTGAAATCTATTTTTTTCTCATGTCCATGCATCTTGATGTTGAGATAATTAATTTGAGGATATTGAGGATGAAAACAACCGCTTCTAGTGAAACTTTTGAGCTGAGCTCTAATATGATTGTTTAGAGCCTTGGCTCTATATAAACTTTTTCCTAAATACCTAAAGTTTAGAGCCTTGGCTCTATATAAACTTTTTCCTAAATACCTAAAGTTTATATAGAGCCAAGGCTCTAAAAAATCAAATTATAGCCCACCTCAAAAATTTCACTAGAAGAGGTTGTTTTGTTGCCGAAATATCCTCAAATTGATCATCTCGATATCAAGATATAGGACATGAAGAAAAATAAATTTCAAGTTTGGAAATAGTGCATATTGTAACATATTTTTGGACTGTCAATTTTAAAGACTTTCAAATTTTTATATATCTACTCGATCTATACTATTTTTTAAGCTTTAAATTTTATAATGAAAAATGAAAATATATTTTAAGGCTACCATAAAGATTTCCATTATTAAAACTACATTTAGCCTATTTGAAGGTGCACTTTGCGTTGATTGTTTGGAGCCTCGGCTCCATACAAACCGCACCCATGTATTTAGGATAATATTTAAATATATATTTTTTATTTTGGGTCAGGTCCAATTAGGTACAGTCAAGTTCGGGTCCGATAACTTCAGGTTCGGTTGGGTGCACGTCCCCTAATTTCTTTTCGAATCCGGGTCAGTATCCTATCTTAAAAGGTACAGATAAGCCTTATCTACTGATCACAATTTAGAGGCGACGAAATTTGGTGGATGGACCGGTGGCCCTACAAAGAAATTAATGGCCACACGGTATGAGATTCCTCAGAGACCGATCGCAAACGCGCCCAGGTGAAGAGTTAGACCCGAGAGAGATCCATCCATGATGAAATGCCCGGATAAGAATGGAGACGGTTCGTGCTGATGTGGGTCTAATTTCCACAATTTTACGTCAGCGTCTGCTGATCTTGACTGACTTGACTTACCAAACTTTGTTTTCTTCCTTTTCTTAGACCCGAGATAGATCCATCCATGATGGAATGCCCGGATAAGAATGGAGACGGTTCGTGGAAATCTTGACTGACTTGACTTGTTCTTCCTTTTCTCTTACTATCACGCCATGTGCTGCGGCTCATTTTAGATTGATTGTGGTTAATGAAGACGGAGAAAATCTTGAATGTAGCCACCTGTTTTTTTGTTTTTAATCGTTCAAATAATTCTAGACGTTATGTTCGCCTTTGGACATCTATGTGGTAGACAGACGGTAGAGCTAATGGTGGCAATCGGGTCATGTTCTGGGTCCGGATCTGGATTCATGTTTTGTACACCTAACATGTCAATTACGGGTGACGGTGCATGATTCCCGGTATATAATATATAAAAAATATATGTATTAAATATGTTAAAATGAGATTTTTTTAGTTTAGGATAAGCTTACATCATATAAGTTCTATCCTCCCCCTTATACAAATTGTCCATTCTGAATAAGGGGCTAAGATTGTCTCAATCACAATGTCACCTCTCAACACTATTTTATTTTTAATTTTTTTTATAAAATATTTTGACACCAAATTTTGAAAGTCCATTCCTCTAATAAGCTCGCACTAGCGAAAAATATAAAAAATATATTTACAATAAAATAACATGACCAAAATACCTTTGAAAGATTAAAGGGGTATTTTGGTCATTATATTTTATCGAAAAATTATTTTTAATATTTTTTTATAGGTGCACCCCAATGAGAAGATGGCACGTATCAAATTTTATATTCATATAATTTGTATAAAAAAAATAAAAATAAAATACTTTGAGACGTCGGATCTAAGATCAAACGGTGAGTGGCTCTCTTGATCAAAATTGGATGGTTGGATGGTAGGAGAAAGACAGAACTTCTATGTTGTAGGGGAAGTATAGAAACATTTCCCTTTTAGTTTTACTTTTAATTTCTAAACCGGGTCTGGTCTTGGTCAAACTGATCAAGATTTTATCGATTGTGTTTAAAACAACTATTACATGGGTGGGTAAAATTGAAATCTGGTGAAAAAATAGGTGATACAAGCTCCGTTATATATCTTTTAGAGAAATGATCCTATAGGACTCTCCCCCACCCATGTGTGTAGGACCCCTCAAAAGATCACCATTAAATTTGGCATAGGTATGTAAAAAAGTCAAATTCCACACCCATGTGATAACTTTTCTAGATATTTGTGCTAACTTTAATGGTGATCCTTTGAGGTCCTATACACATGGGTAGATGAGGGTCCTATAAGATCATTACTCTATCTTTTATTTTAAAAGGAAATGGCCTTTGCATATATATTTTCTAATATGTCAAAAAAAAAAAAAAAACATATATATCCCTTATAAATTTCAATAAAAAATTAAATTTTTCTAAAGGACATTTTTTATTCGAGTTTTATTCCTGATATATTGGCATCTACTATATTATTTCAGTTGTGCGTCCCACCACTATAAACCAGTGTTAAAAAAGACTGCTGCGCCCGAGTCGTGCCGAGTACTGTAGCGACAAAAAAAATTACAAATTTATACAAAATACAAAAAAAATCTAAACAAAACAAAAAATTCACGTTTAAAGCAAGATTAAGCAACATACATCAAAATGAGGTTGAAAAGGCTGAGGTTTGCATAAGATTGCATCTTTATACTGTAGAAGTCGAGTGCACCTATATAAAATTTACTTAGACATGTCGTTTCGTTATTTACTTAGATATGTCGTTTCGGTGTTGAAAATCTTATGATGACTTCAAATCTCTTTTTATCTTTAATTAGAAATGTTAAATTTTAAAAAATAGTACAGATCGAACAGATCAATAAATACTTAAAAATATTGAAAACATATCGTTCAGATGATTTTTTACAAGATGTACTATTTTTTGAACTTGTAAGTCTTTTTTTTTTCATGTCCATACTTCTCAAGGTCGAAATGATCAGTTGGAGGGTTCTCCTATGTGGGAACACACTTCACTTTAGGATTTTTGAGACGCACCTTTCCTCAACAGTATAAGGTTGCAACCTCATACAAACTTTTTCCTTTTGAAAATAATCTAAGACATGTGAAAAAATGTAAAATTTATGGCCAAAATCATACAAAACATAAAAAAAATATCTCAAATAAATTTTTTATTTTTTAATATTTTCTTATGATTTTTTAAAATTTTTTTAATATCCCGAGTTGGAAACGCTCGGCAAAGCCCTACAAAGCCGACTTCTCAAAGACCGTTGTAAACATATATGCTGATATTTTTGAGCCTTGGGATTGACGAAGTATGAATAGCCGTAAACAAAGTCTTCTTTGGTGTGGTTAAAAACACTTTTTTTTTTTCTGTTTGACAATAGATGTTAAATACAATTAGGGGCCGCATTTTTCAAACAAGCGGGATCCGAAAAGATACTCAAAAGGAACAAACGGCGAAATAGTCCCATATAAGGTTTTACGTAATGGAACCAATTATTCCAACAGTTTTTGTTGAACAAACAAACAGCACCTAAACAATATTACAAAATAGTCCCATCTGGGGTCTTACAATAGAGACAAACGGGCTTTTATCCTACTGTCAAATCAAACGGGGCCTAAGGACCTTTTTTTTCTTCTCCATGACTAATAAAGATCGACCAGCCGCCGCCCTCTTCTGTCATTAAAAATCTTCCACATGCCGCGTCTGAGGGGTCTGATCTCTATTTAAGACCTCCATCCTTGCTTTGAAAGAACAAAGTTATTAAGAAAACAGAGAACAAAAAAATGGCTTCATCTCTTGCTTCTCTATCTCTCCTGATTGTTTTCTTAATCGCAGGCGAGCATGGGCTCGGCGTCTTAGGCCAGCAATGCGGCAGAGATAGGGGAGGAGCCGTGTGCGCAGGAGGTCTTTGTTGTAGTAAGTGGGGATTTTGTGGAAGCACTAATGACTACTGTGGTGAAGGTTGCCAGAGCCAGTGCACTGGTGGTGGCGGTGGCGGTGGCGGTGGCGGTGGCGGTGGAGGTGGAGGTGGAGGTGGAGGTGGCGGTGGGGGTGGTGGTGTTGCTTCTCTTATCTCACAATCTCTGTTTGATCAAATGCTTAAGCATAGGAATGATGCTGCGTGCAAAGGAAATGGCTTTTACACTTACAGTGCATTCATCACTGCTGCCAAGTCATTTCCTGCATTCGGAACTACCGGTGATACGGCGACCCAAAAGAGAGAGATCGCAGCTTTTCTTGCTCAGACCTCGAAGGAGACCACTGGTATTCAAATCTCTTCTCCACCTATGTCTCTTTAGCCATATTTTTGTTGCATTTCCTTCACCGTCTGTGTTGTTTGTTCTTCAATTTTAGGGTAAATAAAAGTAATTTTGGATGTGTAGGTGGATGGGCAACAGCACCTGATGGACCTTACGCATGGGGCTATTGCTTTGTGAATGAGCAAGGAGGAAGTGATTACTGTCAACCTAGTGCTCAGTGGCCTTGCGCTGGCGGCAAAAAATATTACGGCCGAGGACCCATACAAATCTCTTGGTAAATCTTTCTCTCAAACTTCATCAAACAATTTTACAGCTCACGACTATAATACCTACCTCTTACCATAAATTTAGCTTCCCCTTTCTTTGATCTTTTACATAAATAGATTTTCTCATATTTTAAATGAACAGATTTTGATAATATGATTTGAAAGTTCTTTCGATGAAAATATGATTTGGAAAGTAGGTGTCAAATAATAGTACGGCATTGATCCACGGGTCAATGTAAAGTTTTTACTGTTTGAAAAGGTCGTTCGGAAGCCAGATGTGGTTTTTATAAGGTTGCAACTTTAAGCGATCCAATTAAGACGTACCTACAAATTTTATTTTGGTGCAAACTTTTTTTGAATTATTTGGAAATCTATTTTCATATTTAATTACAAAGTTTTAAACTTTAAAAATGGTTAAAATCAAGTAGAGCTATATGCATATGAAAATCTTGAAAATAGACGGTCAAGATAATATATTGCAATATGCCTTATTTTTTAAATTTAATTTATTTATTTATTTATTTTATATTCGTACATCTGGATGTCGAGATGATCAATTTGAGAGATTTTCAACATTAAAACAACTTTTTTCTGTCTGATTTTTCAGGTGTATTTGTAATTCTACATTTTTAACGTTGCAACCATATATAAACTTCTTCCTTCATACATATAAATGTCACATATTTTCATTTAAGAAATATAAATGTCTCATATTTTCTAGGTCGACCAAGGCATCTTGTAAATTCAAAAAGTATATTCTCATATGGTGTCATGTTAACTCCCTTGTCATTTCTGTCATATATGGCGGGTTGAACGGTGATTGAGTGACAATCTGATCTGCCAAAGTAATTTTGATGGTGGAATTGCCTCTCCATTACCATCGTCATGGATGACGAGGCCCTCCTTAGCGTTTAAATCTGTGTTTCAAAAAATGTAGTATCAGTAAAACCAGGTGGTTCCTATTTTTTTATTTTTCAATCTGATTTTCTTTTTATACACCCGCCCTGGTTTTTTTGAAATGTGATTGACAAATTTTTATGCCAACTAGCACACTCCAAATTTTTATGCCAACTAGCACACTCCACCTTATTCCCCCCATGTGATTATCAATTTTTTATACCAATTGGCACTCCACCTTGTGATTGCCAAATGTGATTGACAAATTTTTTCTCCTTACTACCCCCCAACGTGATTGCCAGCTAAAAAGTCTCAACTTACTCCCCCCACATGATTGCCAGCTTAAAAGAAGTCTCAATTTACACCCCCCACAAGATTGTCAGCTTAAAAAGTCTCAACGTGCTTAAAAAGTCTCAACGTGCAATACGCACGCTTCACATGGCCAAGCAACATTCAACATAACTAGATCGTTGGATTTTTTTATAGTATTCATTTTTCTTACATCGCTTCGATGTGGGATATATCTATGAGTTGAAAAAACGCTGGCAAATATTATTAGCTTGGGATAAATTGCAGGGAGATGGTGTACGCCGCACGACGGTATACGCACGACGGTATACGCCCGTCATGAATAAGAAAGTTGTATGTCCGATTGTGGTAATGAAATTTGATGATAAAAAAAGGAAAAAATTATTAAAAACAATAATTAGGTGCCCATCACCCTATCTTTCACCAAAAAAATTTAAATTTACTAACAAAAAAAACATAAAAACTCTATTAAGCTATTATGTCATGGTATTATTTCATTATATGAGTACTAATTAATTAATTAGTTAATTAGGATTAATTAAAAAATTAGTACTACTTCATAGATAAAAAAAATAAAAAGTAATACAACAAGCAAAAAAAAATGCCGTACAACATCTTCTTCTTTTGTCAAAAAAAAAAGAAAAAGATAACAAGTATCATATTTTTCTTGTTAAAAAAAAATAAAAGATAACACAATAAGTATTTCTTGTAAAAAAAATAAAAGGTGTTTCTTAATACAACCTAAGAATAAATAGTCTAATTATATTTTTTATTTTTATAACATGATGGTCTATAACATAAATTTAGTAATATTAATTTTAAGATAGGATTCATACAATGAGGCTATTTGTAATCTCTCTCTTTCTATTAACAATCTCTTCCACAAATTTATTTTAGAAACCGAAAAAATTAAAAAAAATTGGCACGTATTCTAATAATTTCTACATTGATAACCAAATCTTTTATTTTATTTATTAATTTTTGTATTGCAAATCATGTTGTGTACTATTTTTCTTACAGTTGTCAATAATACATTTTAAATTAGATGATATTATAAAATATTTTGGATTTGTTATTATTTATATAAAAAAATAATTATAAAATATTGTTGGTATATAATATTATAGTTAGTTAGGTTGTAATAATTTTGGTTTTTTTAGCGGATTAGGGTTTTTCGTCAATTCAAGATTTTAGTGGCCAATTTTTCATCGATTTAGTGAACTCTTTATTGTAGTCCATATATGATTATATATTTAATCCATGATAATTCTATGATTTATTTTGTGTTATGTAAATTTAATGGTCAACGTAAGTTCATACAAGGAAAGAACATCTCAATATTCATAAATTGATGAAAACAATGAAAGTTGTAGCACCCCCATTTCTTATTGAATTCTTAAAAAACAACATTTATAATGAATTTTAATAATTTTTTTGAATTTTTTTAAGGTTTAATCCGAGCGATTCTGCCTGATTCTCGATCTGGATAGCCGATTGATCGATCCGGATCGCTTTTTGGGATGCCCGAATTGTCTATAGACGCTTGGATGGTAGGTCTATCAACACGTCCAAGTCAAACCGACTGAATTGTCAAGTTGACTTGGCTGACCCTCAAACTTTGAAAATGGTATAAAAAGTGGTCCAAAAATCAAATATTTGAAAGTTTTTGGTTTCGACTTTAAAGAACTTGGTTAGGGCTTTTGTAGATAAATGCGTTAGGAACATTTTACGACAAATTTAAATGAATTTTGTGAAAACATGAGAGAGAAATCTAAAAGTATTTAAAAATTGTGCTTGGGCTTGAGTGGTTAGTTATTTGTGATTGGCCCACTATGTTTTAAAAATTCAATTCCTACCATTAAACTATACCCAAAAATAAAAGGAAAAAGTTTATATAAGGATGCAATCTTGTAATGTAGAATTACGGATGCACCTCAAAAATTCATTGGAAAAGGTGGTTTTAATGATTGATCATCTCGACATTGAGATGTATAACCATGGAAAATAAAAAGATTTTAAGTCTCAAAAATAGTGTATTTTACGACATATTATCTACACCGTCCATTTTTAAGATTTTCATATGTTTATATATCTACTTGATTTTAACCATTTTTGAAATTTAAAATTTTATAATTAGATATAAAAATGGATTTTGAAATAATCCTAAGAACATTTTACATCAAAATTGTATACCATGATAAAATTTGATGGTGCACCTTACCTCTACAGCTACGGACGCATCTATATGCCAACTGCACCCAAAACAAAAAAAAGCAATATAGGATTTTCAATTTCAATATAAAACCCTAAAATTTGGAATCTCGATTCCTTCGAGTTTACTTTGTGATTCAACAAATTGTTTTAAGGTTATGCTAGAGGACTCGCGTACCAACGTTTTGAATCCAACTGCAAATCACTTGGTTGAGAAATGAGAGAAAAAAATGACCATATTTTCATGGAAACTCGGCCCAAGTGCAATTTTCTATTAAAAGAATGAGTTTTGGAGGATAGATGGTGGTAGCACCCCAGTACCTTGTTACTCTGCTCTGGTTAGTGTTCGAAAAATCAAACTGACCAGCTTCGATTAACTGATAAATCGGCCTGTTAAACTGGACAAGCTCAGGCCAGTCAGAAAAATGTTAAAAAATCAATACAAAAAATATAAAAAATAAGAAAAATATATTTAAAACATGATTAAACAAAAAACATCTAAATTAACTTGAAAATTAGTGGAAAAAAAGGGTTTAAAAACAAGGTGCGGTTTCTATAGAGCCAAGGCTCTAAACAATCAAAGTAGAGCGCACGTTTAATTCGTATTGAGAAATGTAGTTTCAATACTTGAAATCTTTGTGCTAGCCTTAAAATATATTTTTATCTTTAATTATAAAATTTAAAGGTTAAAAATTGTGTAGATCGAACCAATCCATAAAAACTTGAAAATCTTGAAAATTGACGGTACAAAAATGTATTACAATATGTACTATTTACAAAACTTGACATACATTTTTTTTTTTTTTTTTCATATCCATGCATCTTGATGTTGAGATGATCAATTTGAGGATATTTGGCTATCAAAATAACCTCTTCTAGTGAAATTTTTTAGGTATGTTCAAATTCGATTGTTTAGAGCCTCTATAAACTTTTTTCTTAAAGAAATTGATCTGTGCATAGGGGTATTTTTTGAAAATTTTCAAAACGATGGAAGAAATGTAAAAATATGTATTCATGGGAAAAACACTTTCCAATCGTTGCCGAACTGATAAAAACATTCACAAACATAATACAAATAAATCCTTTATTTTTTGGGATTTTATATATATTTTTGAATTTTTTAATATACCCGGCTGGATCATCAAATCCAGAAACGGCCAATGCTAAGTTTAATCGACCGAATAATGGTTGTGGTTTCCAATCTCACGTACACCCCCTACTGATACATTCAAGAAGCTAACTCCTAATCTATTTAGAAAATAGGCTTTCAAATGGGGGGCATGTATTCCCCACTCAATTACCCAATCAATAAATAAAGAAAAAAATATGTTATTTGCCAAAGGCCTACATACCAGCTATCTTATATGATGAAAGATGGAGATCATCTAGTGGTATCTACTGTGTCTCTTTTGAGGAGGGACAGTGATTGCAGTTCCTTTTCTGCACGCAAGTTACACTATCAAGTCCCTCACTAGTTTACTTGGTTATTTGCCTTTCATTTCATTCTGGTCATGCGGATACATTCATTTATGAGTGATATTGTTGGTGCAGGAACTATAACTATGGTCAGGCTGGGAAAGCCATAGGCTTCGACGGCATCAGCAACCCAGACGCCGTGGCCACCGATGCGGTCATCTCATTCAAGACTGCCTTTTGGTTTTGGATGACGCCGCAGCCTCCGAAGCCCTCAGCACACGATGTCATCACCGGCCGATGGACACCATCAGCGGCAGACCGCTCAGCTGGTAGGGTCCCGGGCTATGGTGTCATCACCAATATCATCAATGGTGGCTTGGAATGTGGCCATGGAAGTGATGCAAGGGTGATTGATAGAATTGGATTCTACAAGCGCTATTGCGACCTCATGGGTGTTCCCTATGGTGACAACCTTGATTGCTACAACCAAAGGCCCTTTACTAGTTAGAAGGATCAGACCTTTTTATGGCCTTGTGTTTCAAATAAGGAAATAAATTCTGTGGAATTTTATAGTTAGAAATTCCAGACCTTGCCAACAGGCTTATAAATAATAAAAGAGATGATGCCTTTGCATCACATGGTGTGGTAGTTTATATCTTGGTATTAAGATTGAATTAAAGAGTTGGAACAATGAGAAATGGCCTATTAATATTAATAGGAATTAGGCTATATGATTGAAAGGAAACGTCTAGGTGAGCTATGGCGTATTTATATGGTGGAGCTAAGCTGCAAAATACCATCCGATTAAGAGTTAGATGAAAAGGATAAAGAGCATGATCTGAAGGATATTGGTTGACTGTGTATCCACCATTTTCACATAACTATATCCTGCCAAATACTTTGGTGACAAGAAAAAGAGAATTTTAAATATTAAATATGTGAAAAAACAGGGGAGAAATGGTAAAAACTCGAAAAATAACTTATGTAACTCGGAAAAAATACTAAAACTTAGCAAAAGATGTCACAAATATATAAAGCTATAATATAATTTAATTTTTAGTATCAACAGAATGGTACTCTCTCATGAAATGATTGCAATACATAGAAAAATTCCTCATATAAATTAAATAAGCACAAAACTTGAAGAAATGATGTGAATAGTGGGTACTATGGTCATAGCACTTCCATAGTACCTGGTCATCTTATTTTTCTTTTGGTAATTTAGTGTTAGGAAGCAAACTTGGAATGTAGTGTTCCACTTTACTTGATATTATTGTTAATAAATAGAAAATCATTATTCCCTAAATCACTGTTCCTCGATATTTCAAGGCAATTCCTTCACAAAAAGTTTATATAAGGTCGACACCAACTTAAATTGTAGAATTAAGGTGTACCTCAAAATTCCATCGAAAGGGGTTGTTTTGATGTTGGAAAACTCTCTAATTGATCATCTTGACATCGAGATGTATGGAAGCAATTTTCTAGCAGTCCTGCCACCATTCCGCATTCTAAAATGTAATTTTTGTAATGTTAAACATCTGAAAATTTTAAAATAAATTTTGAAAATCTTCAAAATGGTCATTTGGTTATTTAAAAAATTTATGAGGTATTACTGTAATAATAGATAGAAAATGGGTATGGATATAATGATATAAGATTTACATAATTTTGTAAAAAGATGGATATATAGGTAATTTTCTATATAGATAATTATAAATTGATAAATGAGAGAGTACATGGAAATGTAACATATCAAAAATATTTAATTATGACTCCAATGATTTTATTACATATCATAATTATATTTCTAATATTAGTGTAATATTATATTGATTTTGACTTCAAGAATTCTATTAATAAAAACATAATTTTAAATTAATTTTAATTTTCAATGACTAATAATACTATAGTTATAATGAAAAATTATACTGGTAACAATAACTTTAGTATTTAGTATTAAACTTATGAAATTTATTTAAATAATTGCAGTTGTTATTAAGTATACTTTGTTATAACTTTCTTAAGTAATCAATAATACTGTAGAATTAATTATTGGAATTCAAATTAATGGAATTAAAACTAATTGTGAGCTATGATAAGTTTTTTAATAATTGTCTATATATATATATATATATATATCTTAATAGATATTATGTTTAGATGTAGGAAATTGAATGACTTAAAAACATTCATGGATATCTAATATATCTAATAAATAGGAGATAAAGTTGCTTATTATTAATTATAGGGTGTGGTTTCTATAAGGTTGCAACTTTAAACAATCCAATTAAGGCGCACCTCCAAATTTTATGCTAACATATAATTTTGGTGTAAAAATTTTTTAGGATTATTTGAAAATCTATTTTTATATCTAATTATAAAATTTTAAACTCCATAAATGGGTTAAAATCAAGCAAATCTAAAAACATTTGAAAAGCTTGAAAATTGACGATCTAGATAACGTGTTGCATGATGCACTATTTTTGGAACTTAAAATCGTTTTTTTTTTTTCATATTTATTAATCTTGATGTCGAGGTGATCAATTAGAGGGCTTTTCAACACTAAAACAATATTTTTCGATGGATTTTTTAAGTGCATATGTAATTCTACATTTTAAGGTTGCAACCTTATATAAACGTTTTCTTTACTACATTTTAAGGTTGCAACCTTATATAAACATTTTTCTTAAAGAAAACGTTTATATAGAGTTGAGGCTCTAAACAATCAAATAAGAGCGTACCTTAAAAATTTCACTAGAAGACGTTGTTTTGATACTCAAATATCCTCAAATCAATCATCTCGAAATAAAGATGCATATACATGATAAAAAATTGGATTTCCAGTTTTGGCAATAGTGCATCTTGTAATACATTTTTGGACCGTCAATTTTTAAGATTTTCAAGTTTTCATAGATCTGCTTCATCAACACTGTTTTTGAAGATTTATGTTTTATAATTAGAGATGAAAATATAATTTAATACTATCACAAAGATTTTCAATGTTAAAACCACATTTCTCGACACTATTTAAAGGTGGGCTCCACTTTGATTGTTCAAAGCCTCGGCTCTATGCAAACCACACCATTGTTTTAGTTATAATAGTTTTTTATTACGGAAGATGTAGGAAATAAATGAGTACCCGTTTACATGAAGAAGGAACAAATTGCGCTTGCCAACTAAGCGTCCCCAAGCATAAATTTGACTACACTTTCCGATTGATACGTTTGATGATTGAAATTGGAAAGGGACAGATACAATACTTCGCCACTTGCTAGGCAGAAAATATGCATCACTCTATACAAGATCGATTGTCCTTACATGGAATCTACATGCTCCTATACCAAATACAAAGTAGGTGTTGTGCCCCATGTAGATTCATTTCTCGGCCAACTTTTATTTGTTTGAAGTCATCGAAAAGGCTTTCAGAGCTTACAACGTTACTTTCAATGCCCGAGTCTACCTACCATCATTTGATGTCATCGCTGCAAGCAAGCACTCCGTCATTACACAAATGACTTCATACCTCTTACTCTTATTTTTGCTATACTTCCAATTTTGCAGGTTTCGATTTAGTGAGTCCCGATTTTTTAAGTACCTAGCTAACCACATACGAAGCATTTTTGTAGCCTTTGTTTAATCTCTTAGTTATGAGACTGTGTTCCTATATTTTTGAAACGATTATTCGTCGTATCAAAGTTTCCCTAACATTTTTTATTGATAAGCTTGGGTTGGTTAGATTGAGGAGGACCCTGCGTAAGCATGAACTCACTCTTTTTATCCTTGTTCATGTGTTCTTGTACTAAGCCTAGACACATGGGTAGGTCCCCTAAAGTAAAGGATTTGGCTTTTAACCTGACTGTTAGGTTACCATCCTCCATGAAAGTGGAAGGCCATTTAAAATGGTGAAAACCTTTATAAGGTCGAGAACCTCATTCCTTGCAATGGCCTGGTCCTAAGCCATAACAAGCATTTTATTTACATGGTCCACTGCATTGTCTCTATCCTTCAATTTAAAGGAGTTGTATTTCTCTAAGAGCAATTTGAGGTAAGTCTCTAATGTTGCATCATATTTTGTCTTTATTGCCTTTAGTTTTCTCAGATGTATCATAACATTCAAATACCATAATAAGAACATCTTGCATAAATATTAGCATCGACTTAGCTATGAGGTCATCACCTAGTAATTTTTCTAATTTGTTATTTTCTTCTTTAATGCCTTGGTCATTACTTTGTTCTAATTTGTTCTTTTCTTCTTTAATGCCTTTGTCATTAATGATTGATAGGTCATCTTTTGATACATATAAAATTCTATCTTGGATGGAGATATATTACATCTTCATGTTCCATACAGTGAAGTTGGTCCAAATTTAATTTTTTTATTTTAGAGAGTTTTTCCATTACAATTCTGCTAGCTATAGTACTTGTTGAGTTATGTATGAGCAGCCTAAATAGTTTCTAAATTCTTAAATAAAACTAATCTAGAAGCCAACAAAAATTACACAATATGTTGTTTATACAAAAAAGAGATTTTGCCACAAATTGCAATCACTTAGCAATAAATTCTAAATTCTAATTATCAAGAGATTCTTTAAAAAAAAAAAAAAGTTTATCTAGCATCAACCAAAACATTTGATCTTTTAAGTAATCCAAAACCATCAAAATCTTTACCCTTACAGCTCAAATGGCTGAAACTTAATTTGCAATCAACTTCAAATTTCAACCTATGCCTTTAAATGGTTGAATTAGAAAAAAAAAAATCTATTTTAAACGGTTACTAAAGCTAATCCATGTATTACTATTATTTTTAAATGCATGCAAAAGAGGAAATTTAGAATTAAGAAAAAGAATCTTATGAATTACGCCCACCATATATACCAAAAATCAAATATAAAGAGAGCTACATACAAATACGTCATGTGCATTCATACTGGACACATTATTTTGTGACAGTTACAAGTAGGCAGTAAGCGAATAAGCAATTTTAGGGATTCTATGCAATGAGACTATTTATTTTTAATACAAGGTGGTCATAATTAGTTACAACTATCTGATATGAAATTTGATAATTAAATGTGTCACAAAGTTTGAGAATTTTTTAAAAAAATTTTGAGTTTGGTCAATGGATTAATTACAGCCACTCAACTTCGCATCCAATGGTTAAGATTAATGTGACCACCTTATACCAAAGGTAAATGATTTCATTCTAGAATTTCTCTTTATTTATCTAAAAAGGCTCCAAAGCCACACATACGGTTAAAGGTAGTAATAGAATACTTCTAACTACAAACTCGGTTTAGCATGATGTCTCTCCTATTAAAACAGACGGAAAAAAAAAAAATCCGACTTTGACTTGCTCACAAATCTTTTATGGTTCAATACAGTAAAAAAAAAAAAAAATTGATTCTATAGAACCCTCCTCCACTCATGTGTGTTGGACCTCAAAAGATCACTATTAAATTTAGCACGGATCTATAGAAAAGTAAAGTCCCACACCCATTTGATAACTTTTTTAGAGATCCATACTAATTTTAATGGTGATCTTTGGGTCCTGCATACATTGGTGGGGAAAAGTCTTAGAGGACCATTACTATAAAAAAAAATAATAAATAAATAAATAAATAAAAAAATAAAAAAAAAGAGGAGGTATTCAAAG